ATATATATATATATATATATATATATATATATATATATATATATACCGGGTGTAACAAAAAGGTTGGGACTCTGGATTATCTCGGAAAGTTGACGTTTTCGGAAGAAATGTTTTATACAAAAGTTGTTTGGCTCGAAGGGGCACATAAGATGGTGCCATTAGTTTCACCTTAGATGATCGTTTGAAGCTCACGTGAACGACACCTTTAATTTCTTAAATGGAAATCTCTATTTTTTAATGCATATTCTTGTAGCTAATCTCGAGAGCTTTTCAAAACACTATAATAAAGTATTATTTTGTTAAAAACTTTTGGAATTATAAGGCTTGAAATTTCTAGTATTTTGACATAAAATACAAAATATCTTCTAAAACATTAAGTTTTCGATAATGTTACCTTAATACTTTTATGCACAGAATAATGAGACGAATCAATTGGTATGAAAAAAGGCATAGTTCTTTTAAGAAAAAATATATAATTTGCAACACGCATCTGCATACTTTTTCTTAAAAGTAACTATGTCTTTTTTTCATACCAATTGATTTGTCTCATTATTCTGTGCATAAAAGTATTAAGGTAACATTACCAAAAACTTAATGTTTTACAAGATATTTTGTATTTTATGTCAAAATACTAGAACTTTCAAGCCTAATAATTCCAAAAGTTCTTAACAAAAAAATACTTTATTATAGTGTTTTGAAAAGTTGGCGAGATTAGCTACAAGGATATGCATTGAAAAATAAGCGTTTCCATTTAAGAAATTAAAGGTGCTGTTCACGTGAGCTTTAAACGACCATCCATGGTCAAACCAATGACACCATCTTATGTGCCCCTTCGAGCCAAACAACTTTTGTATAAAACATTTCTTCCGAAAACGTCAACTTTTCGAGATAATCCAGGGCCCTGACCTTTTTGTTACACCCGGTATATATATATATATATATATATATATATATATATATATATATATATAGTTTTATTTATAATATTACGTAAGAAAATTTAACATAATGTCTGTATGAGCACTAACAATTCTCACCACAGTCTGGATATTATTAATTTTATATTTTGTTACATTACATCTTTTTACATTTTTATATTTTCAAATTACAATTTTTGTAAACTTAATTAAATATTTTATGAATTTTGAATACGGAGAAAAAAATTGTAACAGTCGCTGGACAAACTTTCAGTCTCAGATAAAAGACACAAATAGAAGAATTTACATATAAAATGGAATTGTTTAAAAATTAAAATGTTAATAATTTTTCCGTTATAAAGAAATAAAAATAAAATGTTATTACTTAACAAAATCTCATATAGGGTTTTACAATCGGCTCAATACTGCGCCAGTACTGGTTGTCGCAGTTCGGGTACTACTGGCGTAGTACTGGCATTCAAAAATTTAATTGCTAAGAAATTTTAAATTGTAGTTGTAAGAGAGTTTACATTGTAAGTTATTTTAACCTCAATTTTAAATTCACCAAAGAATCTGTGGCTGAAAGATTGTACGAGAGTTCTAGAAAGATATTCCATATACGTGAAGTGGATGACATTGCGCATCGTTACAATTTCAAATACCTAAGATTTATGCGTGTAATAGTATGTAATGATGTCATTCTTAAGATTACATAGATGTAATGATGAATACTAGGACTATTTTAGAGGCTCATAAGACGGATTACTATTATTCTTACGAACATTATTAAAGCATATTTACGTATAAATATTTATACGTATAATTATAAAGCTGAATCTAAAGCTGTAAATATGGAAAAAATTACGAGAGAACGATAAATTTATTCATAAAAAATTTTGTTGCGACAGTCTCTAATATGTAATTAGCATTACATATTAGTAAAAAATATTTCAATTATTTTTACTAAGCGAATAATTTTTAAGTTATTTGTCATGTATGCGATTCCGCGTTAATATGTAAAGGACGAGGAATATCATTCCGACGTATCGTTATAACACATATATTGCGTGTACTAATCTGACGATTAATAAAGTATAAAATATTATACGTTAATATATTTGCAATGTATAAAAAAATAAATATATATGATGTATAAAGAAAATTATTAAACATAAATAATAATTAGCAAAAGAGTATCTAGCGACTATTCATTTCCTGATTAGGTTATGGATACAATAATTATTAGATAAACTGATAAATCATTAATAATTAAATAATAAATTAAAAAATTATTTATAATTATAATTATTAATTAATTATAAGACGAATATTTTAATTATCAAAATTGACAGAACGAAATATCATTTTAATTATCAGATTAATGATAAAACTTTAATTATATCTTCTTTGAAATTAACGTTGTGTGAATGCTCTTAATTATCCAAAAAGACATTCATTTTTTATTTATATCTATTAATCTATAGTAAGAACGAGCCACAAATTTCCATAACGGCAACTACTGTCACATCAGCGATTGCAATGTTTTTTTTTGTAAAAATTGCAATTAAAGGTATTTGCGGGTAATAAATATTCTCGATAGCTGTTAAATCTGACTAGTCGGAAACACGCGCCGTTTCCACGGTCGAGCGATCATGAAGGCGACTGTAAAAATCGGTCGACACTCAAACAGAGTAATATGCTGGGAGATCACGGTCACCAGCGGAGATCGCATCCTCTCTCGTTCTGGTTACTTTCACTGAAAGACCGATGACCGGTTGAACGTTTGAAAGTCGAGAAAGCCACGTTCTCCGCGATCGCGCGGTCTACAGGTTGTATAGATGCCGCTCACGGTTGTAATCGGCAAGAAGGGAATCGATGGCAGAGAATAGGAAAAGTGAAAGGATCGGGAAAGGGCTCGGTAGAAAAACGATAATTCGCTGTAAGCGAATCGTATAAACAGGTTTTTATGAACCATCGTCACACGAGCGATCATCCGCTTGAAGATGTAGCTTTTTATAAGGTTTTTTATAAGATTTACAAGTGGCGGGGTTTGATTGCCAAATTTCATGTATAATAATAATCGATCAATTTTATTAATGTATACGTATAATGTCAAGAAACAATGAATCACTCTTCCTAACTTTCTTTTACAGTATGCTAATGATAAAATTAATTAAGAAAAAAAATTAAATAAATGATATTAAATTGATGTAAAAAGTTTGCCGTTTTTTTAACGAGTTCTCTTTGTTATATCGGATACTTATGTTAGATAAAAAATCTTTTTTCTTTGAAAAAGGAATTGAAAATTTGTTGAAAAGAAAAGATTAGAGCCCGCCAGTTTCACTCTATTTCGCTGAAATTTTGTTGTCAATTTTGTTTGACAAATGTGACAAATTTTTTGCGACAATCTTATACTGATATTTCTGGAAATGCGTCACAGCAACGTTTGCAGAAAAGTTTCTCGTTATTTAAATATCTTGATGTACTTAGGCTGCGGTCCACTTGACGCTACAAATGCTTTGGAGCGTTCTTCTTCTCCTTCTTTCTTTATTGAAAGAAAAGAGAAGAGGAATGCTTCGAAGCATTTGTAGCGTCAAGTGGACCGTAGCCTTAATCGTATGCGTTGATGTCGGCGTACCGTTTTAATTCCGACCGCAAAAGGCTGATCTTGATCTTGATTGTAAACTAAGGTCGTTATTCAGTGCACCTTCAATACACGGTTTCTCGCGGAAGCGTGTGAAAGTAATAGGTGTCGGTCGAGCCGCATCGCCGAAGGCTGCACTGCAGCGCATTATCTGATGTAGGCAGGAGGAAGTTTGAGATGCGGATAAAATTTCCATCATGTAATCGATACGCAACGTTCGCAGGAAGACATATACTTTTTGCAATAATTTGCATTTCAAAAATGTTAATAACAAATCACGTGGTAAGGTGAATGATAACCTTTTTGAAAAAAGGTGAAAAGAAGCGCCAAGGGTACGCGTTCCATATTAAATGCATTCCAATTGTATTTTCTACTAAAAGAAAAAACATTGATGTTAGGAGGTTTGCGCCAAATGAATATGATAAATTAGTAGATAACATCTGATTTTCTTAATCGTGTTTTTTTTGTTGTACTTGTTATGTATCTGTTTCAAACATACAAGCAAGGAATTTAGAAAAAAAAAATATTAAGATTATTAAGAATTAAAATTATTAAGTATACACAAAAAACACTTAGCGTGTTTTTTTGCCCGCATTAACAACTTTAATATTTCCTATAAATATGTTTGTAGACTATATTACATGAGTAGAAAGGGCATTAATAACAAATCACATGTAAAGTAAATGATAAACTAAAGAAACGGATTTATTCGCGGATACGTTTAAATATTCATTTCTGCTGATAGCTACTTATGTACAATTATTAATTTTTTGCTATTAACTCGCGCAATGTTTACTCGGTAGTTAATATACGTTTTGTTTGAAAAGAGTAATATTCTCGCAGTACGATAGTAGAGAGTTTAATGCATGAAACCGGTCGTCGGTTCTTAATTCAGCTGTGATAGAGAAGTTTCATATTTTTATAAGACATAATAAATACGAAAAGAATATACTAGTCGCATTTTATCATTTAGTTGATATTAGATCATTTTTACAGTTGCTGTTTGATGAGGATAATGTCTCAATAAGTGTCTCGTATGTGACAGGCATTATATGATTAGCAATAACGTAAGAGATATAAGCTATCATATCCTCGTAGTTTAACTCTTTCACATATCGTGATACGTTCATGTAGCTCATCAACCAATTGTATTGTAAGTATAATTAGATATTTGATTAGAATTGACACTGTAGGTACACTAAAAAAAATGTCATTTCACGTATTTCTGTGTATGAATGCAATCTATATAAGTGAAAGCTGTATTACACGACAAAATCATTTCTTCCGGAAATGTCTCATTAGTTTAGTTACACATAAAATGCTTGAAATTCGTAGAATAAAAGATTATTTAGAAGATAAGAGAGAATTTCTTGTGTGTACATTTTCCTGCATATCATCGGCGATATCAATTAATGATTCTTAATACGATCGGAGAAGCAAAGGAAACATTTAGCGTTGAATTAATTTATTTTGTTTAAGGAAGTCCAGCTGATTAAAATTGAAACTTTTTATTAAGATTGGAGAGCGGGGTTATATTCTTCTTAGACTGTGAAAACATAGGTTTCCCGCGTTGAACTGACGGGTGATATAATGGAGATACCATGTCAATGCCAGCCTATGTGCGGAATCAAGGCCAAGCAATTCCGTGGCAAAAGGAAGTCCGCGAGTGCTCGTCGCGGTCGTGGCCGGCGGCCACTTCGTCGCGGAATTTGCTGTACAGACTCGAACACGATAAGGGAAAAGAGTGAAAGGATAAGGAGCGGCACAATACGCGGCCGGGAGAGCCTCTCACGGTTATCCGCCACGAGAGCAACTGTCTTTCTCAGCGCGACACGGTATACGTTTCCGTCGCTTCCCGTTCACCAGGCCTCGGTCTCGCTCTCACCCTTTTATTTTCACTCACTCTCCCTTTCCCTGCACCCTATTCTACCTCCCGCGTGTTCCTGCTACTTTCTATTTTGTTACCCGACAGCAGTGTAAGTATCTATATGTGTATGAGATCCATTAACATTAACGTGCTGTACGAGGCGTGATATGTGCGGCTGAGAAGTCGCGTCGCAAATTTTATATTGGGTGTCGTAAATTAGTAAATTGCTTTTCATTTATGGATTTTTTAACCATTAAATGTTTTATTAAGCTTTCTTTCTAGTAAAAGTGTCGAGAAAAACTATTATTAATTTCTCTCAATTTTTAACTTTAATTGTAACAATTTTTAATTATATAAAAAAAAGATATTTAATTATTTGTTATTATCTTTTCTGAGACAACATGTCTATGTAGATATTTTAAGATTTGTATTAAAATAATGTTTTTTTAAAACTTATTTTTAAAAATACGTTTAGAGAAATAAATTTAATAATGTTATTATTTATTCTCAATAGGCCTTAATATAGATATTTATATAATTAATTTTAGAATTAAATCTATTAAAGCTTTTGAAATAGGTAGGTATATTATTTGCCTCTGCTTTCTGGAAAATCTTTCAATAATTTACGATTTAAAATTTATGGCTCTAAACAATTATGTTAATAAAAAATTAACTTCAAATTGGTACAAAGATATTCAAGTAAATGTGAGTTAACGATTTGGACGTGTAGGACACCTTGTATAGAGAATCTTCTGTAATAATTAACGTTACTAAAAAGTGCGAGGTTGTGTTTTCACATGGTTGCACTGGCAGAGATCTCCCAGCGATTAAATAGTGAGTTGTTTGGGTATACTTGTTATTTGATTGTTGGGAATGTAGCAGAATTTACACCCGCATATAGATATTGTGTAGTATAATAGGCAATAGTTACATATCTGCAATGAAGTGTAAAGATTTGAGAAAGTAGAAGCTTAAATTGGATTGAACTTATCGCATCTATTGTTCTTATACGAACTCATTAATTCTATGTTAATAACGCAATTTCAATAGACTCTCTAGTTCTTTTTAACTTATTTTTTAAATCTGATTAATTGTTAAAATAAAAAGTAAATTATTTTGAGAAAAAAATTAAATATTTTATATAATAATAATTATTATTATATCAACAAAAAGCTGATATAAAGAGAATAAAATAATAATATATATATTTCAAATTTATTTCTCTCTCTTGTAAATTCTTTTTAGTTTATTAAATATTCATTACAAATTTATTTTAATGAATGGATGGAAATTTATTTTCAAATAGTATCAAGCTTATAGAATTTAATATTATTATTCTATTTATTTAAAACTATTCACAATTCGATTTAATTTATTTATCGATTTAAATTATATTTACATGTTTTTTAAATAAACATTCACTGATTATGAGTACATGGAACAAATATAAAATACTTTTTTCTTATGTTCTAAAGATTTTTTTTATTAAAAACTATATTAGCTATATATACATACTAATGTTATATCTTGATTAAACAAAACAAAATTTGAAGCAGTATGCTAATAATTCCAAATCCTCGCATATATATATATATATATATATATATATATATATATATATATATATATATATAGCCCTCGTTACTTTAAAATATTCTATATTTAACAAAAAGAATAACTGTGCTTAAAATTAAATAAATTTAAAATTAAAATAAAATGTAAATGCGTTCTTGTGCGGAATCTCCGCGAGGAACAATTACATCAGAGCAGAATCTAAATCAGTTTCAGCTCTAGATATTTTTGTGTTATCTGTGCTATAGGTACTTAACACACTGATTATACGTTACGCGTACGTTTATGCTAGTTCGCAGTGAGTATATTCGATTAAACATATTTAATGTCTTGAGACGAATTCAGGACCAAAACCAATAATGGTCGAATCGTCACGATGATTATTTGCCAATTATTGCCGGATGAAAATAAAAGCTTAATTGTTAAATATATTTAATCAAGTATCAAAGATTATATCAATTTAGAAAAGACCAAAACCCATGGTCAAACGATTAATCCGACCAAAACCAATGGTCGAATTGTCACGACATTGCCAAATGTTGTTGATTAAAAATAGAGTTTTTCTTGTAAATATATTTACATCGATTAGAATTAGTATAATCAATGTAATTTCTTGATTAAACTCTATGAATATATACAATTAATTTCTCGCGCGTTACAATGCGATAAGCGATTATTAGTCATCATGTGTGCGTATTAATTTATACACCAAGTCATTTCATTATATTATAGATACTTTTTATAGGGGAATATATATATATGTTTTCCTATACAGTAAGACATTTAAAATTTCATGGATAATACATAGATTATTTAAGGAGCGTTATTGTCACATGATTTATATATGTCGCCGAAGGAAAATATATAACTTGTTACCTACAATAAAAACAGATTCATAATAAATAAATAAATGTAATAAAGATCAAAGAGGCATTTTTAGGTTTCGTTTTCTCATGAAGCATTGCAAACATTTCTTTCATTCGCTTGAAATACTAAGCAGAGACCCCAAAGAAATATACGTTGCCTACCTTATTTTTCAGCCTTCTTTTTATTTTGGAAATCGGGGAAAGTGTATAACCGACGGCAGTAGTAAATTCGATATCAATATCTATGTTTATCTATGTCTGCTTATCTATCGCGCGAAACTCATAAATCATATAATAGATCGATCAACGCGCTTATCGCCAATTGCCAATCGCAATGATGGAATTGTTGTATAAATAATGCGAGAAAAAGAGCAGTCGTCTTTGTTTAATACACCAGTTAATCTACAAATATAATTTTTTCTTTGCGTGGAGATAAGGTCAGATTAGTGTGATAAGAAGATCCGGGCAGTTGCGAAAGAAAATCTGCCTTAATTCCGGTTTTTTATTTCTAAAATTTTGTACAACGCCATGAAGCATCGGCTGCAAAATCCAATGAGACTCTGTACTATACATGTTCCCATTACCAAAAACCCAGCTGGCGGTAATCAATTATCGTAAATAACAATACATAATACATGTCGGCAAGATTGAGAAAGCTCAAAGGCGAATTTCTCTACAACAAGACTGAGCTGTGTGGGTCACGACGCTGTTCTTGTTCGCGAAACGCATCACGTATAGCGAGCATCATCTGGTGAGTACATACACACCGGGTACGTGGCGAGGGGTATGCCCACCAGTTTCGTGCGTCATCGCACGTTCGGTTTCTTTTCGAGTGTTCCTCCGTGAGTATCTCCGGTGGTACCCGCGTTCTTTATTTCATCCCCACTCGGCTCTTCCGGTATTTCCTCCCGTCTGGTATATATACAGGTAGGACCGCAGCCGCAAATATATGACAGTGTATACCAAGTCGTCGTGGTGAGCTGTGCGTGGGATAGGAGGAAGGAAAAGGTTCGGCGGCCGGCCGCGTTCCGGATACCAGAATGGAACTCCAACACGCTGTAAGAAATTAAAAAACGGACAAAAAGCCGTCGGCTTCACTGAGAAATTGATACTAGGGTTAGAGACTTTGCGTGCAGTCGATGCCTGAAAGTGGTTTTTGTTCAGTGGATTCTTTCCTATCCGTAATTTGCAGTCGCGCAAATGACAGTTTCGTGACTATACGCGGAAAAGAAGAAATTGTTGTAACGATTAGAAATTTTACTGGTTCAGCAAATACACATTTGGTATTATAACACAGCATATTTTCGTTAGTAAAAATATAATTTGTACTAAAATAAATCTAAAGTAAAAATTTAAAATTTCTAACAAAAAATATTTAATTGTAACGCATTTTTTTACTATTGTAGAAAAAATTTGGTTATTTACCGATTTTTATAATTGAGAATTAATTGTTCTAGCAATTGTTTTCAATGTAATTTTTTTGTTGCACAATAAGAACTGTTTAGCTATAAATATTAAATTTGAGTAGCAAATTTTTATTTTGCTAAATCAAGCAATTTATTTTTTCTGTATTAATATACATTTTTTATTCTATGTAAATATCGATGTTTGTATGCATTTATCAAAGGTTTGGCAAAATATAAAAATTACGCATAAAACCTTTCCAATTTTAGTAATACAAGGATATTCATAAAATAAAATTCTCGTAAATAATATTGTAAACAAAAAAATGAAATAAGTTTTTTAAGTTAAATTAGAAACTAATCCCCTTGCGTGTTTAGCATTTACGCATCTATTAGATTCATACATTTAAAATTTTTAAATTGATGGATTATTAAAAAGACTTATTTAATTGCAGATAAAGGCCTTCATTCTTGCAAATATTCTATCAGTAGGCTTGGCAACCTTCGGACATGAGCAGTGAGTTCTAATCATATAAAAATATTAATTATCGCCAATCAAATTTTAGTCAATCAAATGTATAATGTTTCACAAATGTAAAATTTTATCTTTAAAACAAAAAATAGAAGATCTTTTTCTCTTTGCCATAGCAAAATCATTATTTATGAGGAATGGTATAAAAAATTTTAATATTCCAAATTTATACCATCCTATACCAGCCTACTTAGACGCTCATGCGTAATTAATTTACACGTTTGTGTGTAATTAATTTAGTCAGGATATAATTAATTCGTATAGAAATGAGTGAAAGAAAATGAAAGATGAGGTTCTTCAAATCTGTAATTACCAACACCTTAAGAAGCGTGTTAATTAGGAGCGCGCCGTTCCTTGTTTTAAGCATACTTTTCATATTTCAGTGTGCATATAAGGATACATTTGCCAGAGGTACTGCAGTACCACGAAAAGAAAGTCATAAAGTATGAGGATCATGGCGGGGGAGGTCATGGAGGTGGAGGTGATGATCATCATATAGATGTCTCCGGTCCCGGGGATATAGATGGTGGTTTCGGAGGTGGCCATGGCGGAGGTTTCGGCGGTGGTTTCGGAGGAGGCTTCGGAGGAGGTCATGGAGGAGGTCACGGCGGCGGCGGTGGAGGTTACGGAGGTGGTGGTGGCTTCGGAGGAGGTTTTGGAGGTGGTCACGACGATATCGGCGGAGGTGAGAAAAAATATTCTAGTTTTATATTTTGTCATTTCTTTATAAAGGTCGGAATATTAACTTTCTTTATAAAGTGAATTTCTAATAGCAGGGATTTCAAAGTAGGACAATTTCAGAGAGAGAAAGACTGTGTATATGCAAAGGAAAATGGATATTATATTATTTATATTATTTATCGAGAAATTTTAGTACGTCTGATAAATGACTTATAATAAAATGTATTAAGTAAATGCACAGATGATATCTTTACTTTCTCGTATCTACGATTTTACAATGCAAAGTACTTAAATGTCTTTGAATTTATGCGGAATTCTATTATGGCAGAAGAAAAAGTTTCTCACTTGGAGTTTTATAGTTAGTTTTATGTACCGAATATGATAACTTATGAATAATAATAATAATAATAATAAGATGATAGTAAGTAATCGTTTGCAATATTTTAATAAAGCGTTAACAATAAAGATGAAGATAATTATGAGATTGTAGATTGCCTAAGAATTAGAAAGTTTATTCAATTAAGGATTTTTTATATTATTTCCTTGAAATTACTCATGAGATTTACTTAATATTTAGTCTCGTAGAAAAATCTGTATATTATATGCATTAATATGCTGTTGTTTTAACATAAATTTATGCAAGGTTAAGAGAAACGGGATAAATAAGAGCCAAGCGCTGTTGGTGGTGCACAGAGATGTATAGGTAACTCCTTTAATTTTTTATTGTCTAATTAACGTACGTTTCGGTCCGTCAGTTTGGACCATCTTTAGCAACTACAAAGAAATACATATCTAGAGAATCGGTACATGCTAATCGTAGATATAATCAATAATTGTATACATACATAATTGTTTATAATGATAAACGCCTCTCGAGTCAAACGTCGATGCTAAGGAAAGTCGGCCTCTCCACACTACCATCAGCCATGGAGAGATTTATTTGAGCATTGATCTTAAGACTTAAATTAGAGCTATGATAAATCTCCAAGAAATAAAATAAGAAATAAAGAGATGTAGTAAGAGAGGCCCATCTATGCACCATCTTCAAATAAATCTTTCCATGGCTGGTACTGTGGAGAGGCCGACTTTCCTTAGCATCGACGTTTGACTCGAGAGGCGTTTATCATTATAAACAATTATGTATGTATACAATTATATTGATTATCTACGATTAACATGTACCGATTCTCTAGATATGTATTTCTTTGTAGTTGCTGAAGATGGTCCAAACTGACGGACCGAAACGTTAATTTAGACAATAAAAAATTAAAGGAGTTACATCTCTGTGCATCACCAACAGCGCTTGGCTCTTATTTAGCCCGTTTCTCTTCACCTTGGATTTCCACTGGAGCCTGTACATTGAGTTTTTATAATTTATTCAATTATATCGCACCAAATACAAAATATTTGTTCGAAAAATTCGCTGTAAAATAATTGATATAAAAATATAACAAACTTTGCAAACGTTTTAATAAGTTTCTGCTTTGTTGAGTTTTTGATGACAAGATATACATAACAGCAACATTGTCTAAAGCGCAATTGTGCAATCGCAATTATTACTATTTATTCTTGGTTTTGTTACAACGCGATACGGATTAAAATTGAACGAATTTTTAAGTATAAGCGGAATTGCATTTTTTAAATATATATATTCTTTCCTTCTTTTCCCGAGAGAAGAACATTTGAAAATACGATGCTCCTTATGCTAAAAGATTTGCATGCCATCTCTTTTCGGAGAAAGTTTACTTTGCGCAATAATGTTAAAAAACAAAGATCTGTTAATTAACTGTGCTATTTATTCTTAGTTCAGTATGAACAAAAGATTCAATGTACGAAGAAGAGGTAATCACATTTTCAGATTATCTATCTTTGCACTTGGAAAACAAGTACATGAATATTTGTGAGAAAATCCCACATTACTCGTTACTTTCATTTCACTCATTATTCTCCTTCCAGTATTGTCTTATAAACGTAACTAATTATAAATTATATGACTCTGAAGCATGAGCAGAGACTTACTTCGTATTTATCTTGTTTAAATAAAAAATGCCTTTTCTCTTTTTTCAGTTCTTCTTTCTCTGTCTTTCTTTCTCTTTTCTATATTTATTTGATGAGGAAATTTGTAATTAAATCAACAAAACGCCAAAAATAATAATTTATTTTAGGTGGAGATGTCATCATAGATCACAGCGGTGGAGGCGGTCACGGAGGAGGCTACGGTGGTGGCGGTGGTTTTGGAGGTGGCCACGGAGGAGGTGGTTATGGTGGAGGCGGCGGGGGAGGTGATATCATCATTCATGACCATGGAGGACATGGCGGTGGTGGAGGTTTTGGAGGTGGTCACGGAGGTGGCGGTTACGGCGGAAAAGGTGGCGGAGGCGGCGGTATCATCATAGACCATGGACACGGCGGTGGTGGCGGTTTTGGAGGTGGTCACGGAGGCGGCGGAGGCGGTTTTGGAGGTGGACACGGAGGCGGCGGAGGCGGTTTTGGAGGTGGACACGGAGGTGGTGGTTATGGCGGAGGAGGTGGCGGAGGCAGTATTATTATACACGATGACCATGGTGGCGGTGGCGGTGGCGGCGGC